TTTAATATTTTCAAAATAAATTATCAATAGATAAAAAACAATTTTATGCTACAATATAAATTATTTATTATAAATTTAAAATATAATTTATATGTTTAAAAATACTTATTTATACAAATTTTAAATATAATTTATACATTCAAGTAATATTTATTTATATGCACAATTTATTTAAAATTTAATTATATAAATAAATATTAATTAACCTAGACATTCCACATACTAAAATATTAATTAACTTTGTAAATCCAAATCTATACCTCCAAATAAATTAATATCAAGCATTATATAATAATGATTTATTTGATGGAAATAAAAAATAAACATTCCTAGAGTAACATCGTAATCATTATGAGAAGAACTAAATTTGTCAAATAATGTTGTTTTAAGTTTAATAGCATTGGCGTAAAAAACAATTAATAGCATAAATATTATGTTGGAATTTAATTTTAATATATTGACGCTATAAAAAATTTATATTCTATTATCTTATCATAAATTCTTATGAATAATGAAATTATTAAATTTTGTGATATTTACTTTAAAAATCATACATAAGATAAATAATGAAGAAAAAAAACATTATCAGTGCACAAAAATTAATCTCCATTATACAGGTCATGTGATACAACGAGTGTATTAGCCCCAAAAATTAACGGATTTTAATAGTTTGGCAATAACAGTTTATATTGCATCAAATTCTGAGTTTTAAGCTGTCGGGGTTTTTAATAGTTTGTTTATTCATTTAATTTTTTATTCATGTTTAATAGCTAATAAGTTAACAAGTATATCACTCCTTTTATATGAGAAGAACAATTAATGAGATTTTAATGGACATTAGAATATGTTATTGACATTGACATCAATTTTTTTTCATCCCATTTTAATTATTTTAACACTCATTATTTTGGACCAATTTTTTCTTTCCCAAAGACATGAAGTTGATGCAGATAGATAGTGATGTCCTTTTTTCATGTCTTTCCTATGCGGCTTGCAACTATGGCCATATGGCGTAAATTACTTTTACTAAATTAACTGATTATCTTTTCTCATGAAAACAGTAAATCTTTGTTATTTCATAACAAAATTAACTTGCTTGACTCTGTTTTCTTCATATTATATTTTTTAATTTGTTTATTATTTTAAAAAGTAAATGAGATTTCTATTACTAAGACATAAAACATGCTTACAGAATTTCTCAAGCAAGAGGACATTTTTTAGCCTTGTCGCCACTTAATCCAAAATTTTAATAATATTTTTTTAAATTCAAGACTCGATGAAGTATACAATGAAAACGGATTAACTCAATCTATATGTCATTACATTAATGTACCATTACGGATAACTAAATCATAAAATTATATATATATATATATATATATATATATATGAAACTAAATCCAGTTTACAATTTATAGTATAAATAATTTAAAATAAATATATTGTTCCAAGATGCAAATTATTGTTTATTAACTAAGTAAAAATTATACAAGTACTACACAATTGTTAAAAATATAATCAAAAGAATACAAAATACCAAACTTGTCCAGATCCAAAATATATCCGAAACTTAATTCGAGAATTCAGTGAAACTAACTTTAAAACTTGGTCAAAACAATATATTAATTTTATGCGAGACCAAGTTAAAGAAACAAATCTTGAGCACCATTCATCAGTTAATTATTAAAAAATAAATATCGTACATAAATATTAAAAAATAAATTTAAATGTAAGATAAGTCCCCGAAACACTCTTTTGAGTGACAAGTCAATTTTACAATATACAAGAATAGATAAATAATAATAATGATGACGAAGAAAATAAGATAAATAGACAATGCATTGTGCCTAGTAAAAAAAAATATATAGATAAAAATTAAGTAAATAAATGAAACTATTTTCAGCACCGTCGTTCGTATGCCGTCCAAAAGTGCCAACTTATTTGTTTGTTAGTCAATGTGCTAACTTTATTTTATATCTTATATTAACAGGCTTGGCAGCACTTGCTAATCACGCAATGTACAATTGAAAATTTATTTTATTTAATTATTTTCGTTGACCCAAATGGCATTTAATTTCAACTAAAAGATGCCTTTTAATTTCGGGTCGAATAACTTGAAGAATATGTTGTGTAATTTGTATTACATATGAAATTTGCATATAATTTGTTGTCAAATAATTTTGAATTGAATAAACATGGTGCTTGATTAGCTATGATCAGCAAAATAAATAAATAAATAAATAAAATCCAGTCTTTCGGGTAAAACTATAAAGTTAGAAAAGGGAACAAGATATTTGATATTTTTATTTTTTCCTCTTCATGAATAAATTTCTAATTTGTTATAACTTAATAAATTCTCGTGCCTGATGTCTGTACCGGAAGCCGAATGTGGCACAGAATGGCATATTGTAGCAAGGCAGGTCCTGCGAATGGCTTATCTTCAAAAACTTGCTTACTATCATCAATCATAAAAGTCAGTGATCGAGTGCGCTTCGAAGTGAAAGTGGAGGGTCTAGCAGTGTGCCTCTGGAAATAAGGTCGTGATTCAAGAATATAACAATAACAGATATATCATCATGAAAATGCCGTCGAACCTTCTTGTCAATCTTGCGCAGGTCTGAATATCGCATTTCTCGTTTTCTTGCTGCTTCGTGGAGGGCAGCCTTGATAAGTCTCTTCGCACTACCCTGCAGTAGCAAGAACAACCAGTTCAATAAAACAAAACCATCGCTGTAGTTCTTCTTATGGATAAGTTCATTCAAACAAAGTCCAAGTATTACGCCTTACGAGGCAAAATTAGCATAAATATTCAAAATCATAACAGGTTACAAAAAGAATAACTTCCTCAAAGGTAAGAATGTAGCAATCAAACTCATCATAGGAATTGTATTAATGAATAAATTACCATATTAAAGGCTACACTGATGATCAAAAGGAACAAAAACAAATAGATATCTGGCAACTTCTTGATAAAGGAACAAACATAACTTGTAAAGTTTATGACTTCAGCAGAAGCACAGACACTACTTACTCCATTCACAAATCATACACTTTACAAACTATCAAATCAACCACAAGCAGTAATGGAATTTTCAAACCTTCTGTGCTGACCAACATTTAAACCACTTAACAAATATTCTAGGTCCTCCACCATATTAATGCAAGAAAACTGGACCAGCCCTCAGCCAATTCCCCCCCCCCCCCCCCCCACACA